AACCATTATACCCTGATTTCCCATTTTCAATGGGTTCAGGGTATAAAAAGAGAAATTAATTTGTGACATTAATAAAGGGGCCTAAAACAGAAGGAAAAAACTGGATCTCTGGATTTACCAACTGAAATTCTACCGGAAATTATTTGCCATCTGTTTTGCTGCTTTGCTTTGATAAATGATATATAAAAAAACAAACCAAAAAAAAAAAAGAAAAACACTCAATTCTTTGGCCATATTTGTGGTATTTCTTTTGTCAAAACAAGCCGTAAAAAACAACAATAATGTTTATTAATAACATGTCATGCATAACAAAAACAGAAAATAGAATTGGCAAAAAAACGCAAACATACAAAGGAGAACTAAAATTGATAGATGTTGCCCATGCAAATGCGTGTAATTAATTTAATTTAAGCAGTAAAATTATAATAAATTAAATTTAAACAAAAAATGATATAACAACTAGCTGTTTGTATACCCTGTCCATACAGCATATATATCATAAATATCAAACCTTTTCATCATATGATTTTGTTATTTTATTAGCCTTGGCTTTATTCATTCAGTTCCAGCCCATTCATAAATTGCAAGATCCACCTAAACCTTGGCTACCTCAATTTTCTCTAAGTCCAATAGCAAAAACTCAGTTCCTATAGCATAAAAATTATTCCGCAAATGCAAATTGATATTATTTATTGATTTTTATTGGCTGCGACGCCTTTTTCTCACACCCCACTAATCAGTTTGTTTAGCGGCATTAAGTTTAATCTGCGCCCAACCCCAAAAACTGAATGCTAATGAGTCGAGCATGCCGCAGACGTGTATTTATAAGCCCCAATCAAAAATATACTAGAGGATATATGAAAATTTAATTTATATAAATGTAATATAAAAGGCATATATATAAATAAGAGAATATATGAATGTATGTCTGCTTATTTAAATAGAGGAAAACAGTTTATAATATTTCCCCTTAATAATAAGTCATTGGCAATTGCTTTTCTTTTTTTTATTTATTTTTTAATTAGTTTTCAAACACATGCTAGAGCAGGGTATCTACTAGCTGGGTATCCCCTAGTTGCAGAGCGCCCTTTATTATTTCTCTTTGCTCTGTGCTTTTTAATCTGTTCTTTGCGTGTTTCATTAAAAACATGTGAAATATATTTATCTGTCTCCGAACTAGTTGAAAACTTTACCAAGAAGCTAAATTAAACTAGATTTTTATCTTGAATTCCCATTTGAATGATGGATAGAACATTGACAGCTTATGAACTGTTACAATTGAACTTATGTTTTTTCAGCAATAATTATTAAATTATTTTTAACTGTTATATCTAACATACTTTAATTTACTTGTGCATCATTAGACATAATAGAAATATCTAATCTCATACACATACACATACATACACTCAGTTTCAACTGTGCCCATCCACGGCCCTTTACTAATCAGCTGCTTTAAGTTCCAAAATTATGCATACCCAATTTGCAGAGAATTTCTTTGAAATATCTGTAGCAGAAATCAATTAGAGTGAGGAAGCGAGCTGATGCAGAGGCTACTGGGATAACTCATAGCTAGCATGCCAAACATGCTTTGGTTGGCCCCAAAAGCCAAGCCCACCCAGCATACCCGCCTGCCCCTCTCCTCTGTCGTCTCCCTGTCTCTCTCGCTGTATACTGGTGCACAAACCGTAGATGCCTTAACAAATAACTTAACAAGTGATTAGTCGAGCTCAAAGTTTTGCCTCAGCATCAAAAAGTTCCTTCGGCTGCCTGGCTGGTAAATTTGTGTAGCACACTTTTAGGCGCATTTACAGCATAAATTATTATCTAAGGTTAGTTTTCGAAACCCCAGGCCAAGCTAATGGGTTACACCCACTATCTGCATATTCATATTCAAATGTGAATATTTTCCATCTATGCAATTTAGCCTAATTATGGATAAAAACTTTAAGCAACCGCGATGGATTATAAGACCTAGCTATAAATATCGTCAGACTAATTGCTGGCAATTGTTGAACTACTTTAAACTGCATCTATCGAGTTGCTATTATAGGGTACACTCAAAGAAAGTTATATAAAAAATATGTTTAAGATGAAAAGAGAATTCTATTAGAAGCAAACTTTCAGTTTACGTTTCTAATTGACTTTTATATACTAGCAGATAATTCTATGATTTACGAAGTGTTTGGGATTGTCAAACCCATTTCTTTTAACCCCTAAAAAACCTAAATTTCATATGGAAGCCTCTAAGAAATCGCTGCTTTGTAATTAAATTTCTATTGCCGAATTGCTGTTGATGCTTACAAAGCTTTAAGTTTCCATTGCAAGTAACATATTTTATATAACACCTACATATTACTCTTTAGCTCTTAAATCAATCATTTTAATCACATTATTTTTTTCAGTGCACACGTGTTCCAAGTATTATTTATTAGCTAATTTACAGCTGCCTTTCTGTAGGCAGGTAGCGGAAGAGCATCGGCTAAGTATAGAACTAGCACACATTGTGTGCCGCGGCTGGTCCAGTAATTAGTTAGAATAGATCTGGGTGGGCGACCTGTCTGGCTGCCAGTTAACTGTGTGAATTGCCTCTATTTATGCAGTGACTAAAATGCTGATCTCTCACTGGCAATGAAATGCCTTCAATCGCAAGTGGTGCAAGGTTCGCCATGGCAAGTGTCAGGGGAAATACATATATACATATACATATATACATATTACGGTAGCTGGGGTGCATATCTAGATTCATAAACAGGATCTATTAACATACACATATTTAACCACCTTCTAATCAGAGACAGCTCAGCTATATATAGTATAAAATGTTTATATCAAACATCAAAGCTTGAGGCAGAGTTTAATTGAGCGGGCTAAGAGCTGTGGCTTTATGTGAACGTGCTCTTATAAGGTTGTTCACTGCGAATACACGGAGAATCAATTAATTTTGTGTACAACTTAAAAAACGTATTATCTTCTTGATTACATTTTATATACACTTAGAGAAATAACTTGTGACTTACGATTAATGTACACCTTTATCATTATTTTCTGACTATTATCTAATAAATCAACAATAAAATTTAAATTTATCTTTTAAATATATATTCAAGTCACTATTGAATTTACTCTGATTTTAATATATGTGTTCAATGATTTATAGATAATAGATTTTTGTCTTACAACCCTATCATATATCTAATTGAATGACGTGTAAATTTCTATTCTTAAGTATATTATTTTTTTCTGTTTGATCGTTCCCATTAATTAGACAAATATAAATGATATTTTCTGTTGCAGTTTAACTTGGCGAAAACCAGTTCACAACCCGTTTAAGCCAGTGTCATTGACGTTCTGTTTTAGGCCATAAAGCTTTATGACTTCGTAGTATATAAACAAAATAGAAAATATTTAATAAGTGAACTGGTGAGCAGATTAGACATATATTTTGTATTTTATTTATTTTTCACGTAGCTTCCCAGTTCTAATAATAATTGTATAATTATTAATATTATTTTTTGTAAAGAACTTCAGTGGAGGCATGACTCGCACCATAATTTAAAAGGCGTTAACTTAATTTGCCCGTAGCCCACTTTAAAATTTCACTTTACGTACCTGAAAATTGCGCAAGAATTACTGTTATTACTGTTAATAAAGTACTTTAGAAAAACACCTGCCAAACTAGACAGAAAATGGTATTTATAAAGAATATATATATATGTATATACATCAACAAATTGTATCCAAAACGCGACCGTGTGCGGCGAACGTTGGCGTTGAACTCGCTCGAGCCGCAAACAAAAGATACGCCAAGTTCAAAAGCTGAATACATAGAACCAAATGACAAGAATTAACTGTGAACGACAATAGCAACAACAACAATTATAGCTACAGCAATGATCAACACAACGATCATTCACAAATGAGAAAACAAAATAATAGCAAAAACAAAAACATACATTTTATAATTAAGTAGTTGTAGTTAAATAAAATTAAATATTGGAACTGGGATCTACGTGAAAGAAGTTATTTAGTTGTTCAAAACACATGTCTCTTTAAATGATTTATGAATAATACAATATATTAAACTATTTACAATTTTTTTCAAAAGGGTTTCAATATCATCCATATTTCAACTGTATATATATTTAAGTAAACTGTCTTTACTCCACAAATATGTATCATACTACTTGAATGGTTTTTGCAAAACAGCCTACTTCCGATTGACCTTATAATTATTACTAATTTAGGGGCTTTCCATTAATTTTCCTGTTTCATTTAAAATGTAAAACATTTTTAAACAAATAAAAAATTTTATATTATATATAAACTACAATGCATTGTAAAATACAACTTTTATTCCTAAATATATGTCTTAATCTAAATAGTAATGCATGTTTTTAGTGAACAACTCAACTGATCAAGTCTTACATATTAAACTGAGGCCGTTGCTTGGAGGTGGAAGGCAGCATCGTTTGAGGTTGCTGTAGCTGCTGTTGTTGTTGTTGCTGCGGTGGTTGCTGCTGTTGTTGTTGTTGTTGTTGCTGGTGCTGCGGCATGTTGTTAGTCGCTCTGCCACCTTGCTTCTGGTAGACCAAGCCAGCAACTCCTGGTATTGTATTGCAGCCGACGCAAGCATGCAGTGTCTCATGAATAAATATATCACAATCTATGCAGAAGAACTGATTGCAGTAGCCACACTTGAAAACACTTTTGTCTGTCACGGGATTCAGCACCCTTATGCAGGCAAAGCATTTGCGCAAGCTATCGCAGTCAGGCGATGCCGGTGGCACCATGTCATAAGACAATTCCTCGAAGTTGGGCACTGGGAACAAATGATGATAGGAGCGGGCCAAATGGGGCGCTGACACCAGCGTCAGCCCACAACATTGGCACTCGACTGGCAGCTCACAATATTTGCTGTTGCATTGTGGACAATGATGACCGGTGGTGGACAATTCGCTGGGCTCTTCAAGATTTTCGATGTGGCACATGCACATGGATAGCGGTGCATCCTTACCCTCCACCTCGTCCTTGCTGTGCGGAAAGCCCATGCGTATCAGTGAGTTATCCTGTGTCTTTGCAGCGGGTGGTGGATCCACCTGAGACAACAACTGATCTCGATAATGTGCATCGTCCAATACAGCACCAAAGGTGCCCATAGTCTGTTGCGTTAAATAGCGGCAGATGTGAATTTCTGCTGATAACGAAATAACCGAACAGCGTATTCGTTCCCTCTTCAGCTCATCTATAGTTATATTAATATCCACTGGATCGCAGGTAGTCAGTGAGCCCATGATGATAACGATTTCTCGCGATGCATGCGACGGCACCACTTTAAGGGTCTTCAACGCCAAATCCAAGCCATTTTGCAGTGAGGGCTCACTGGTTAGAGGGACATTCGCCAGGCTGCGAAAGAGTAGGATAATCAAGGTATCTCTTACACATGCTCAAAAATATTGGATCTACTAACTTTGCTAAAGCCTTGAGATGCACTCGCGAGGTACCGGTCAGCTCGGTAATTTTCTCCGCTCTCTTTGCCTTTAGTGCGATAATACCCAGCTGGCTTATGGGATTCTGGTCGAAAAACTCTTCAATAAAGATCTCCAGCAACTTAAGGGTGCATAACAAACGCGTGGGCTTCAGATCAGGCACGCTCATCGACTCAGAGCAATCTAAGACGATGAACATATGCCGCATCATTCCCAGGCGATTCTGTTTAGTCTTGTCCGCCTGTCGTTTGCGTTTTGCCTTTTGTATAATATCGGCGATGGCACCGTCCAGCAGGCCATCATCATCCTCCTTGATGGCTTCCCTGTAGCACAATACAATTCGATATACATATACACAACAAAACCTTATGAAATAGTGTCCTCTGAATATACCAAGTCTTTTCATAGCCAGTCTCCCAACGGTACTCCTTTTGGTCGTCTTGTTCATCGTCGGCCATTTTTGTTGCTTAATTAGAAAAGCAATACTATTTTTCTCGGCATGCACATCAGACCGGCAAACAAACAGTGTGCCCACAACACAGTCTGAAATAATTTGGCAGCTGAAGTATAGAGTTGCCAATATTCATAGCAAAAGCGTAAGTCAGTTGTCGGAAAGCAAGCATTGATATAGGACAGAAATAAAAAATTACAAATATTTCAAAAAATATCTCCGTGCATTATTAAATCGCATTTAATTTGATTTATCTCAATTAATGTAAAACGAACAGTGCTGCCATACTGAAAGCGGTAATACACCACGCCACGTGATTGGCTAACAAAGTGCTACAAAACGCGGACGAACGGAAAACGGCGCTACACAATTGATTGTGCATATACGACACGTTTCAAATATTAAAGTCGCCTAAATTGTACGTATTTCATAATTTACAAGGTTGAAAAAATAAAACTGTAAGTAATTAATTTAACTTAACAATAAATATACACTAGCAGTCCAGTTTTTATTGAAGTTAGAAAATTCATGTATATAAAGTAGCGCACTCAAGTGTCACCCAAGCCGTGCCCTGAAAACAGAACTGGCCACTTCGTTCAGTTGTACAAACTTTTTTGGCATTCAGAGTTGGCGCGCGTGCAATTGTGAACAGCGTTGCGCGAGTTGGAGAATAAAAACAGTCAAATTAAAATTAGTTGTTAAAATACAAACTGGTTGTTCTCTACATTTGCTCAATATACTTTTGTATATGAAGGTGTGTTTAACAAAAAAAAAAAAAAAAAAACTAAGCTAAAAAACGAAAACGCAAAGTGCATACATAAATCTCGTGGAAAAAAGCGGTCATACATGGCAAATTTTGTCTAAAATATCGCTTGATAAGGGGCTGTATTGTATCAATGATCCGTATAACAATTATAAAACCTTGAGCTAAGTTTCGTGTGCGAATGTGTGTCTATATTTAATTAATACAGTCAATGCAGATGTAAATGCAATGTGCGGCTTTTAACCCAAAAATGGCGGCTAGTTGAAAGATAAGAACAAGCAAAGAAAATTATGTATATAAATTTGAATAAATTAAATATTGTGTAGAAGAGCTCATGTTTTGATGTTGCATTTTTCGCGCCCGGTTTGCTGTTTTGTGCGTCTACTTCTGTGCGGGCGTTCGTTGCATTTTTTGGCCATTACGCTTTGTGCTCGCCTTTCTGCTGAGGCTCTGTATTCTCTGCAGCCATTACATACAGCTAAAAATTCACCACGCTTTGCTGCCAGTTGTGAATGTTGCCACTTCGTTTCACAAAACACACCACGGCACTGTACTTTATTTTTTTTTTTGCTCTCATGTGCGTGTGTATGTTTGTGCGCGTATTTCCTTCGGTTTTTATTTGTTTTTAAATTGTGACAGAAAAAAATTCAAATTGTATATTTTACAGTTACTACGGTGGTTTGTTGTATAATGTTGGCACAGGAGATTGCACCGACGGAAATAGGCAAACACGCAAATATAATAAGAGGCAAGTGGTTGAAAGTCGAAGCAAAAAAAAAAAAAAAAAAAAAATTTTTAACAAAAAGCCTTCATTATTTAGTTGCCCAAGAGGAATTAGCCAACATGGATGTGCTCGTTTGTGGACGGTGCTTGCGCGCCTTTAACTTTGTTGAAGAGTTTCAGTCGCACAAGGAAGATGATGCCTGTGAGAAGGAAAATTCAAGTTTGAAGGAATCTCTTGACACCAAGCCTACAATTTGGGCATTCACGCTTTGGAAGGCCACACAGTTGCACACACGCAAGGAGAGTAACATTTCAAATTCCTGGGCACTTTACCAGCACTGGGTAAAGCTGGAAGAGAGCGTGCGTGAACCTTGGATTGTTGCCGGTCGGACAATACAGTCCTTTGGCAAGATCGGGCATGGCCAACTGCAGGATATGCCTGTGCGCATCACCAAAACTGTAGTGAATCCCAACAACAATAATAATAACAACAGCACTGCAAACAGTAACAACACTTCAAGTGTTTCGCCCACAAGAAGTAAGAGTTAAAAGTTTTTTTGTTATACATATATACTATATAACACAATATTCGTCCACTTAAAGAATCGCCCGGTGGCAAATTGCCAACTGTTGCTTCACAACTTAAGGATACAGAAAATGAACGGCCCAAATCTAAGCCTGGTACGCCCACTCCACCTGGAGCCTCAGCACAATCGACATTATCGGGCGTTGTCAAGAATAACAATCGCATTGCCACGCGAGTCGATCCCAAAACTGAGCAGCGTACTGAGGAGGCTGTGGACAGTATTGTGGCGAAACGTTTTAATCCACGCCGGAAAACCCATGAATATCTGGTTAAATGGGTTGATCGGTCGCACAATGAAAACACATGGGAGGTAATGGCCAATCTGGAGCGAGTGCCCTACTTTCTTCAAATGTTTGAAAAGCAGCTGGCGCGGCAAAAGCTTAAGCGAGAGAAGAGCCTAGATGCTTTGAAGCGTATGCAGCAGGAAAAACCACAGCAAGACAAACAACAGTCTCACACTGGAGGCAAATTGGACGCAGCGCCGCATAGCCCACAATCCTCTGCAATATCACCCAATTCAACCACTGGCGCATCGCGTCCATCGCGCACTTCCAAGACCAAAGCTATGGATCAATTTAAGCAATGGGTTAACGAAGGTGGTGCCGGCGAAGGTTCGACGTCGCCCTCCTCGGCTAATGAGGATGAGTCCGCAACGGAACAGGAATGGTCGACAACTGGTTCGACGGCAGCAGGTCTTAAGCGGAAATTAAATCATACAGATTCCAGTTCGGATGCTGCTGGACTAAATGTTTCCAATGACTCGATGGAACTGGAAGATCTTGAGGAGGATCTAATACCTTCACACACAGTGAAGCGTTTAAAAAACGGCGGCAGTTCCGTGCAGCTGAATAAGCCCAAAATGCCAACCGCGCCTCGCATCAATGGCAATTCGTCGTCCAGCTCTAATTTTGGGGATAAGGAGCAAAAAATGGGTGAGGTCATCTACACGGAGGATAGCACAAGCACGGGCATGTTCCGAAAGCCCGAAATGCCCAATACTATACACGCAGTAAGTTCGGATGGTCTATAAAAATATTTATATTTATTTATAATATATAAAATAAATATATTAACCTCAACTCTTTCCTTTTTAAGAAACGAAATAAGCTTGAGTGTCCAGTGCGTTATTTATCTCGCTCTGAAATGGTCAACAACAACAGCGGTATTTTTCGGGTAGAGCAATCGGAAAGTAGCGCACCATCACCAGTTCCAAAACCTAGCCAAACAACCACATCCACGGTGGCCAAGCGTATGACTGTTGGTCGATCATCTGGCAACAATTCACCGGTTACCGTTGGTCAGCGCACGCATGTGTTGCGCACTCCTGGCCAGGTGCCTCCTATGCAACGTCGGCCTGTGGGCAGCAGCAGCACGCCCAATCCGCTGCGACAGACGCCAATGGCCGCCCGAGCTGGAGGCGGAGCTACCACTGGAGCTGGAGCACGCATGCTGGTCACGCGCGCCAATACGCCACAGCAGCGACAAGTGGCTGGATCCAAGGCGGTAACGCCCGAGCAAAAGATATTGCAATTATCAAAGTCTGGGGATCTCAAGGTGACGCGGAAGGTGATGACCCGAGAGGATCTACAGGCCCAGCGTGTTGCGCAGGTGCGCCAACAGCGTCAGCAGCAAGCTCAAGCATTGCAACAGCAACAGCAGCAGGTGCAGATCCAGAAGGTCCAACAGTTGAACCCACTGAGACAACGCACGGCAAATGCAACAGTCGCTAAAGCACAACCCATGCAAATCGAGATGGAGGTGGAGCAGGACGATCTGCAACAGCATCAGGCACAGCTGTGTCCCATTACTGGCAAGCTAATTGGCCAAGAGGAGACGCAGCTTCAAATGGAACAGGAGCAACAACAGGAACAGCAGCGCGAACAGCTAGAGGCTGCCGCTCAAGCCCTGCTTGGAGGTGATCAGCAGGTGCTCACCAACGAGGATGGCTCCGCACTGTTGGTGCGTGGCGAAGATGGCACAGTCTATCAGGTGGCCGGCAAGAATGCCGAGGGCCAGACAATACTCGTGACCCAGGGACCCGATGGGGAGCAACAGTTCGCCTATGTGGCTGCCGCCGAGGGCGATGATCAGGATGTGCTAACGCTGGACAATGCTGTGGCTGAAGCCGTCGCTGCTGTGGGCCAACAAGGCGAAGCCACCGCTGATGGCGAGCATATACTTGTGACCATGACTGAGGAGGAACTGGCCCAGCACCAGGCTGCGGTGTTGCAGCAGCAGCAACAGCAACAGGAAGCGGCATCAGCGGGCAGCACACCGCACACGGCGCAGATTCACATCACAACATCGGATAGCGATGGCACCGAGGCACAAATACCTGCCGAGGTGGTGCAAGCGGATTTACCTTCCCCAGGTAAGCGATTGCTATTATTCTAAAATAATTTTTAATCAATTTATAATAATTTATTCAAATTACAGGCGGAACCCGTCGCGTAGTTTTGCTGCTGCAGGATGGCACCTTCATGATGACTGAGATGCAAGAAGATCAGTTCAAGACGCTAAATATCCCGACGTAAATAATTAAAAACAAAAGATATGTAGCATGTATGTAGCTCGTAAGCTAAATAACGACACATAAGGATGAAGCACGGGCCGTTGTTGTAAGGATACACAAAACACACATACACACAAGAGAGAAAGAAATCCGATTAAAATTTAAGCATCGGCATCCTGTAGCTGTAGCTGTAGCCGTAGCTGTTCCCATTTTGCCAACCATATCGCACATTGAGCATACGCATTCCCCATCCTTTTGCTCTAAAACCTTCTATTTTTTTAAATAATTCAATTCGACCTATTCAGAAAGTCCAACCAAACAAAAAGAAAAAAAAATAGCTAGCTATGCAGTAATTGAAGTTTTCTTCAGTAAAGTAACTGTACTTTGACTTGATGGGGTTGAGATCTGTTTTATAAATGCATATATGAGTAAAAAGCTATGCAAGGTTTGAAGATTGCAGAGTTTTTTTAATCTAATGGTAAAGTCGATTCCAAGCGTAATCTTCAATCATGAACAGCGGCAACAAATATACATTAGATAACTTACATACAAATCAACTTGTACTTGTATTAATTAAAGCAACAAATTATAAACAAAAAAAAACAAGCAAACAAAAACTATCTAATTTAAATAACTTTAAATAAATCACAATGCAATTCTTTGTTCTAAGCAACAACTAAATGCAGCTGTTGCATTTTGAAGAACAGTTAAATATACTATTTAGATAACTCAGCAAAACATTTAGAACACACACACACAGACGTGCAGAGGCACACACTGACACACACAAAAGCATACAGATACACACACTCAGCAACAACAATTTAGCGATAGATCATGTAATTGTAATATTATAATTATTAATATGTATTGTACATTATTTAAGTAATTTTTAAAATCGAATGAACTAAAGCAAACAACAATATGCTAATTTCGTTATTAAAAAAACAAAAGAGAAAACAGAAGAATTGCCACAAACACTTAACAAAATGCATAGATGTAAAATATAAACAAATATATATATTAACTGCAATTTAAATTAAAATAATAAAACAAGATGAAATTCAGGCGATTTCAAAAGGACTTTGGATACAAATTGATGAATTGATAATTGGGAAAACGAGTTCGGTGTAAATTAGTTAACTTAGAAATAGCAATTTCAAGTCAACTTAAAAAAAAAAAATAAGTATTTGACTCTGGATGAATCCGAATAACTCATCTTGAATGGAGAAAACGACTAAATAAAATATAGTTCCGATATTTTGATTTATATATTCTTCTTTTATATAGCTTTCAATCATAGTTATAAGTAGTTTAGTTCATATCATAACAACGCCTAATCCAAAACCTTCTGAAATTTGGCTATAAAGAAGCCGACAGTATCCAAGTTTTGCATACGATTCTCATGACTTGGCCCAAAACGCTGCAGAAGGTCGCGCTGGGCAGCATCTAGATCTGGCAATGGTAGACCAGGTGCGCCCAGTTTCGGTGTTGCATCCACCAGCTGCAGTTGAGTGTATTTGCGTAAAGCCCAGGACACGATCTCCTCACATTCAGCCTCGGTAACGGTGCAGGTGCTGTAGACAAGGATGCCACCAGGACGAAGCAAGGGCACAGCCTGAGAGAGTAGATTGCGCTGTATATGTGGGTAGGATTGAAGCACCTTGGGCTGCTTAATGTTGCAACAGAGCTGCGGACGATTGCCCAATCCACTGCAGGGTGCATCCAACAGTATGCGATCAAAGCTACCAGATGCAAATGGCGGAGCTATTGAATCTGTAACACTGCTGTCATCCCATGCTTTTGTAGCATCAAATTGATGCGCCGTAATGCAAGTGTAATTGGCAAGCTTCTCTTTCATGGATCGCACACGATTCGCTGAGTTATCCAGGGCAATTATGGTGCCTCTGTTGCCCATCAGTTCGGCCATGTGTGTTGTCTTGTTGCCTGGTGCCGCGCACATGTCAAGAATGCGTTCACCCGGCTGTGGATCTAGCACCCTTACGCATACCATTGAGGGCAAGTTCTGGAGCAGTGCATCCTCATCACTTAGATCTCCCAATGTGGGAACTCCACTCACATTCGTTTGCATGCGCACTGCAATTCCCGAAGCTGGCTGTTCCTTGTTGTTGTACAGCTGATGGCGTTGCATGAGCACCTCACCCACACCTACGTAGATCTTCTCATTGCAGTCGTAGCGAGTTGCTGTGCCCCGTTTGCATTTTCCTGGCAAATCGGCAAACACATTGACAATTTCATGAAGCTGAGTGCCTGATTCCATAGCCAACACGCCAGGAGCATAAATGTGTGCACCACGCAATACCGCAGCGCCGCAACTGGTGTCAACGATAATCTCTTTGCGGCAGTCATCATATGTATTTTCCGCTGTTGTGTCCAAAGGTGAAATACACAGCATTTCAGGTATTTCTTTCAACTCATAAACTCGAGGAGCTGACGAACCATAAAGCGCGCTTAATTTGGTTTCCAATTTCAGTTTGTAGTCCACCACACTGGTGCGTAGTGTGTTGATGCGATATGTTGTAGTGCGGGGCGTCTTGCAGAGCCATGGTAATAATTGGTTCAATTCGTCGGACTGCGTAATAATTGATGAAAATTTACTGGCTTTAAAACAAAATCACAAACTAAACATCAGTGTTGAGTAATTAGAGCAATGTTGCCCTAGTAGACAACAGAATTATCGATATATCATTCTTGACCGGCAGCCTCATTAGACCACATATTGACAGAAGTGCCGCTTAACTGTTTCCCCTATCTCGAAACACTGTTGTAATATTGACTCACGTTGACTTTAAGAATTTGATTTTCCAGTAGAAATGCTTTGCCATAAAATGGAGTTTTTGGATAAAACATTCTATAAATCGATTGGAATATCTAGCATGTCACGCTTGTTATCATCTCTAAATTCAACACACCGGCCTCGCTTGTGGACAAGACGTGGCAGCATATGAATGCCGTATAAAAACCCACCATAGCATATTATAGTGCTGCTGCTCTAGCATACGGGCACGCTCAGCATTGCGTTCATTTTCAGCGTTGGTGAATTCGCAGTTTTTTCAAAGGCAAGTGTATTCTCGGTCAAGTTTTATTTCGCTCTGTGATTTTTAGACATTTCCAAGCAGAAATTTCTAAAATTTCTGCTCAAATTGGTGTGCGTTTGATTCAATTATTTGGTGCGTATTGTTTATAAATCAAGTTTTAGATGCTACTATTATAAAACGGCGCCTTATTGTAAAAAGCTGGTAGCATTTTTATCTTTTTGTATTAAAAGTGCTGCCGCAGCAATGTGGGTGATGTTGGTGTATTAGTGTAGAAATTTTAACATACGCACACATGCATCTGACGTGAGCAACTTGCGATGGGAGTGGTATTGCAATCGAATGCACGAAATTCAAATTATCGTTCACAATAAAAAGAATAAAAGCCTCATCGCTCAACTTTTTAAGCTACTGCACATTTATTCAAATTTAATTTTGCATTGTGATAGTATTTCTCTATTATATAATGCATTTTTTATTGAATTTCTTTTAAAAGTGAGAACAATCGATTGTCCCATACAGGGGAAATCGATTAACGGTATCGCAACCAACTCTGTGTCATCGCCAACTTGTACATTCTTCTTTGCTGTCGGTTTTGAGGCAGAAAATTTGGTCAAAGGGAAATTTACAAAAAAACTATAAAGAAAACGGTAAATAATGAGTGCAAAGTGCAAATAATGAAAACGGAATACGAAAGCAATGTCCAAAGTGCAAATCAATCAAATATTTCGACTAAAAATTAATAAAACAAGGCTACCGCTGTTCAACGAAAGCAAATGAAAAAAAGCATACGTCGCCGTCATCATTTCTTAGTACTCACACAAAGGCATCCACTCACACACACACACACATACACTTAAAAAATTGCATAGGGCTGTCTAATGTGTGCGTGGTTTACCCAGTGTATTAATTTGCTACGCAAACAATGGAAAATAAACAATTCTACACGTTTGATGAGCTTTCAACTCCATCAATAGGTGTCTATGTGATTTTCGTTTTGCCAAACTCGACTTAAACAACGAGAATGTAACACGCACACAAGACTTTAGGCAACCCTAAACTCTCATGTGCGTATATGTGTTTATGTACCGTGTCTGTGTGTGCGTTGCAGGGTGTTGCTGCTGCTGTGCTGCTGGCCGCGGCACATAAAAGTTGCTACGTGTAGTTTTAATTTTCTTACACATATTTTTTGCGAAATTGCGTCCGTATCGTTTAGTTTTGATTTTTCTCTTTGCAAAGGCACGACACTTAGACAGTATTTATGCAAGTTTTTCTAATAGAGTGCTCATCACTTGTTATTTGCGCATTCCCTTTTTAAAGGTAACAACTCAAGTCGGCTCTGTGTGTGCCACATTGTTGTTGTTTTCTGTTCGAAATCAATTAAAATTTCAATTCAATTGTAAATTGGAGTAAATTGATGTGTGAGTGTCTGTACTTTACTCACAAAAATGCACACACACACACATACGCACTAACAATAGTTAAATCCGCTACTGTTGCTGACTCACCACAGATTTCGACTTGGACAGCGGTCGAGTCATCGAGCGGGAGCGCTAAGCATTTGCACTGATAAATCTAGCATATTTCCCACCTCCAATCATTTACGCGCTCTGCCACTACACGTTTTTCCTTTAAAAAGACGTGCGACGCAGACGAACAAAAAAATCAATACCTTATCAGTTGCTGCGACGTCAGCGTCAGCGTCGACTGAGCACCGGCTGTGAACCTAACAGTCAAATCAATGTTGTCTTTTCTTTATTTTTGACAGGCTCTTTTCTTTGTTGATTCTATTTTTCTGAATGCGAGACTTCTTGAACTTGCTGCGGTTGTCAATGAACTTTTTTGGTAAAAGCTTTTCCTTGGCAATTTCTACACTTTCTCGCTGGCTAAGTGGCTCGCTTGGATGAGGCAGATTTGTTAGCTCGCATTTTCATTTTTTAATGGTAGATTTCATAATTTCATTTCGTTTTCCGGTTTACTCATCATTGCTCGCCTCAAACACGTCAGCTTCACAATCGAAGCTAAATAATTAAAACAGTTTGCAATTAAGCAGCGAAACCTGAACAACATTTGACTAAAACTTCACTACTCACATTCAATTCAGTTTAATTGCGCTCCCCTTGTTGTTATTTTATCATATATTTATTTTTCAGTTAATCGAATTAAGCTAAGTGAAACTAACTTTTGCGCTCGGTCTTTTGGTCTCTTCAATTTATTGCAGTTTCTTCTTCAAGTTGCAATAGCACCGCACACATCCACCAAAGGAGTTGCAGCAGCAGTCGACAGCAGTTCTGGCAACTCGGATTTGAACTTGTTTATAAAAGTTACTCCATAAAATACTAAAATACTAAATACGAAGAAGAAGAACAGTCAGCTGTGTAGTGTAATTAATTAATATAATAAACATCCCATCCACATTGAAAGACAAAAAGGAGAAGGAGCGAAGCAACAAGCAGCATCAACATGGGAAATGTATTTGCGAATCTATTCAAAGGCCTTTTCGGCAAAAAGGAAATGAGAATATTGATGGTCGGTTTGGATGCCGCTGGTAAAACCACAATTCTGTACAAACTCAAATTAGGCGAAATTGTTACAACGATACCTACTATTGGTAAGTAACACATCTATAATAAATAAGTAAATACTAATCTGTTCCCTATTCCGTTCACTCGCAGGTTTCAATGTGGAGACTGTAGAATACAAGAATATTAGCTTTACAGTGTGGGATGTGGGCGGCCAAGACAAAATTCGTCCATTATGGAGGCATTACTTCCAGAATACACAAGTACGTTCAATGCCACCTTTATCACTAATTACCTTTAATTCAATCTAGATGATGTTAACAACTTGTAATGATTACTTATGATTATTCAAAGTTAATTTTTGTTTCAAGACGGGACTGATATCTCTACTATTATAGGCTGCATACCTTATTTCCAATCGTTATCTTCGCACCCGATTAACATTGTTCTATGTGTTTTCTTTATATATACTTTTTATACAGGGTCTTATCTTCGTCGTTGATAGCAACGATAGAGAGCGTATCGGCGAGGCGAGAGAGGAATTGATGCGTATGCTGGCCGAGGACGAGCTTAGAGATGCAGTCTTACTAATATTCGCCAACAAACAGGTAATTATTTAGTTAGTAGTAGACAATTAATTAGTGGCTGGTTTCCTCAAGCATAGTTTTTGTTTAAAATAAACTATTTCCATGACGACAGCATTTTTGAAATAGCATATTGCGCAAACTAGACTAACGCACGTGTTAAACAAATGTTGATTGGCGTTGATAAGAAAGAAAAACTGTAGCGCGAGATAACCAGGGTCTTGAAAGTGCACTCCCACTAATTAATAGAGAAATGTATTTCCATTTCCTTAATCAATACTAAATGTCCATCTTCTCTCTCTCTCTCTATCTTTCTTCCTCTCCAGGATCTGCCAAATGCAATGAATGCGGCTGAAATTACCGATAAGTTAGGTTTGCATTCACTCAGAAATCGCAATTGGTATATACAGGCGACGTGTGCAACCAGCGGCGACGGTCTCTATGAGGGACTTGACTGGTTGTCTAACCAGCTCAAGAATGCTAATCGCTAAATAAACAACAATAATAGCAGCAGAAACAACAACAACAACAACCGCAAGAAAACAACAACAAACATAATTATACACTAAACTTTGAAATCTTCAACAACAAGAATAGCCACAACAACAACAAGAGACAACGGCATCTTACATGTGGGAATAAAAATTTAAAAAACAAGAAGACAAAGAAGAGCGATGTTCGGGTTCTGCGCATTTCCATATTTTCCAACAAAAACATACAAAAGTAAAAGAATAAACACGCAAAGCCGATGCTCGCATAATTTAAACTTGTTTAAGAATCGCAAACAAAACTACACACACACACACACACACACACAACATAACACAAAACTTTTCAAAGCAGCATCAGCATATTAAAAACGCTATGATTTAATTTAAAATTATATATATATATAATTATTGGATGTTTAAATGCAATGAGTAAAATGAGAACCCAACCACCACAAACTAAAGCAACAAGAAAAGTATATGGTATAAAATTATCTTTTTTAAGTTATTTTTGCCCTACCCCTCATCAATATATATTTCTTTTTAATTTTATAAATATAAAAGTAATAATGAGAAAAACAAAACTGTAATTGTAATTGCTCTTAAAAAAATACAAGAAACAAAATTTAATATTCTTTTGTTTGTGTCCGTCGCTTGGCAGCAAATCAACAACAATAAACACATAAACTATATTTAAATAAAAAAACGGCAAGTACTATTTATAAAGGTAATTCTAAATAAAATTTAAAATAAACAAAACATGCTGAACCATTTTTGATACACATGAAAATAACTATTTCAATTTATTAATGTTTACTAATGTTATCGATAATCTAAAATGAAAGCATGCAATCGCCGACAAATTTTACTCAACACTGTCCCGGCACGTGCAGGGTTGCTTTTGTCAATAACGATAACACATAGTCTTTGCTGCTGGTGCCAATTTATAAGTAATTTTTCAATTAAATTAACAGAAAAACTGACAAAAACATTGTTAAAATGTCGGCCAAGCAAAACTCGAAGAAATCTAAGTGGGCGCTGGACTTCAATGTTAGGTAAATATAGCAACTATTGCATAAAACACGTCAGGCTAACTTTCTTGCTCCTGTGATGCAGCAAAAATGCAGATATGCCCTCGCCACCTGGGTATAATCCCACGGCCCTAGTAAATCAAACAGAAGTCGTACGGGATCAACGTTTGGTAATTAAAAAATCATGGGATTTGGCACTGGGACCACTGAAGCAGGTATGAAATGAATACGATTGGAGATGACCCCTTAATTGTAACCTTTGAATTTGATATACTCTCTCCAGATACCCATGAACCTGTTCATTATGTATATGTCCGGCAACTCGATATCCATTTTCCCGATCATGATGGTGGGCATGATGTTGATACGTCCTATTAAGGCAATGTTTACCACACAAGTGACTTCCAAAATGGCCGACGGTGCACAGGGCACCGGTCAGCGTATAATCTATATACTGGGAAATCTGGCGAACGTAGCGCTCGCTCTGTATAAATGTCATAGCATGGGCCTGCTGCCCACCCACGCCTCCGACTGGCTGGCATTTGTGCAGCCCCAAACGCGCTTAGAGTATTATGGAGGAGGTGTTTCATTTATTTAGATTGTAACTTTAAACGTATCCTTTATTTGAGTCATAGATAAATTTGTTTAACACATAACAAAAATGTAACTAAATATATATATTGTCATTCGTCTCGTCCGTCTCAATCATCCAAAATTTTTTTGGCCTCCTTTTTGATATCATGTACTATCTGTTCGGTTGGAGATCTGCAAAGAGTAAGCAAAAAACGGAATTTGACAGAATATGTATTTAAAATTGCGGTCAATTTATTCAGAACTTATATTTAACAATTAAATGGTTAATTTAGTTATTTCGGAACCGGCACTCAATTGCAGTTTTTTGAGTATTATTTTGTTCCCACATTTTGTTTTGAGAAATCCAAAATGTGTCCGTTAATTGCTCGACATTTGAAAGTCAGATACACTGCTGTATTGGAAATTTGTATTTGCGTTCGCGGAACAAAGCTATATTTTGATTGTTAATAAAACTGCTTAGTTTTAAAAGGCTACATATCCGGAGCTGAGTTTTTACTTTTTGCCCTCAATGAGTTCGCGGAGTTTTTTGTTCATTTTTTCAACCAGCTTAGGGGGATCATCTACGCGAGGCACCTGTGGAAGGATGTGGATTAAATAAACAAATTTGCAGTTCTCTTAAGAGAGCATACTTCGTAATTCTGCGATACGTAGACACCTGTGTAAACTCCGGCCCCAAAAGTGAGCTGCAATAAAAATATAAGAGTTTTATTAATAAATTGTTCATGTATATAAGTTTCAAGCTTTTTAAAGGTGCAGACCAAACAGAAAAACATTCGACCCCGGCGTCGCTTGGCCCGGCATGGAGGTATCTCGTCACAGGATTGGCATGAAGATTGCCACCGTTTCGCCAATATTTGCCTTCCTAATCCAAGCAATTTCATTTTCTAGTTTTACGATTTTAAAAATTTCCAAATAATTACATTGAATTTGTAAAAAAAAATTGAAGTGTTACTTGAATTGAAATCTGACTACTGTGATGGATAAATATATTCAAGGATGATTTATGTATTATATGGAAACATGAGAATATGGCCAAATAAAAGATACAATTGTATCTAACCAAGAGGCGGGCTGCATCGTATATTGAGATCCATATAGATATCGATAGCTCGGAATATTTTTGTGGAGTTGCCATACTAAGTTATTTCATATGCGCATTAAACTTGGACACTAGCCATACCTAAGGTCAGTGCTTTAAACAAGGATTCAGTGCATCTGACTTAAAGCGAGGGACTGCGGTTTATGGATTTTGACATATGACAACAGGAGCACCCAACTTGACGAATTAAGGTATTTAAAATCATTATAAATAAACGACATTTCGTTTGCTGGTGGTTTTGCATATTACTGGCTAAATTGTTGTTATGTCTTTGTCCCATGATACACAGTGACAACAATAACACAGCAGCGGGATTAAATCATCGCCATAAAAAGAATAGCACAATTCGTACGGCTCACTTAAAAAACACATGACAAAAGAACACTCTCGACTTGTTGCAGTCGTGCAATCGCTAATTTCACACACTTTCACTTTTATTACGTGCACTACTCACCAAAAACTTCAACATTGTCCAATAATTAAAATCACCTTTTTCGCCCGCACGCGCCAGAGTGAGAACTAAAACAACAACCAAGTTGAAGAAACTGTCAAATCTGTATGTACGGAACGACCACCGCGGGAGAGCGCGCTGGTGTGCCTGTGTATTTGTGTGTGTGAGTGTCTTGAAATGAGAATAAAGAGCGAGCCTATAAACAGCTGGCACACTACGTTTTCTCTGTGCTGTTCGGTGTTGTTGTTATTTTTTCGTTTTCTGTTATCTAATCACAGGCATAAATAATAACTGCAGTACTATAAAAGTTGATTAACTGTTTAATGTTGTGTGACAGTTTGCAAAAATTGTTAATTTTTTGCGAGTATTTTTTTCTAGCAAACTTTATTTATAAAATTTTTTAAAGGTTTAAAATGCAGGAAGTCGCTTTTTGCCAACGCAACGAACGAGCAACGTCGAAGCACTAAATAGTAAAAAAGCAAAAAGTAGCCAAAAATAAGAAACTTGTTTTTTTGGGTTGTACCTTTGTGTTTCGACGCATGTATGTGTGTTAACACTATAAATCGAAATACATATGCTAATAATGCTATATGATTAGTTTTTTTGCGACTCTTTCAATTTATTCAAATTCAAATGCGCGGGTAACAGTTGCAACACCGCAATAACTACGTTATACAGCACTAGTGCATTTAGTAAATCTGTAAAAAAGTCATTGACATGTTGATTCTTAACTATATTTTGTAGTACATACAATATCTAAAAACAAATTGCACATTTAACAGGGCATCAAATATGAATAATCGAATATGAGTAATTTGTAATTAAAATCGTTGTCTATTTTAGCTTAAACTACGTCAAGTTATCCTTTTTCCGCCACCTTCTAGGCCAGAACTGCAGGTCTCGTCTTCAGGTAAACAAAGGCCACTATCTATAATGAATAAATGTACATATTTTATTTGTTAAAGGGTAACATTTCTCATAACTACTTACCATCATGGCTATAGCACCTAATGCCGGCAATACAACAGTTCCAATTTTGCTTTGCATTTGTGCGTTTTCCAATTTGCGCTCCTTTTTTTGCTTACGCGTCTCCTTTACCTTGCCCTTTAGTTGACGCATATTCTAAATGCAGACGTGAAACTAATTAATAACATTGTTTACTATTTAAATAGTATAAATTACCGTTTGCACTAATTGGACTGCTGACGTGTAGTTTTATGATTACTTAGAATATGTAAACAGAGCGAGAACAGGGCGGTATTAGCGCACAGGTAGCTGCCGATAGGCTTTGTCAACAAGTTGTTTCTGGTTTGGATTTCAATACATATCTTCGACTTTGCTGCTCTCGTCGAAACGCACTAAAGAAAGTTTTGCAGGTGGTTGTTGTTGCGGTACAAACAGTTGCCACAGCTGTGCTTAGTGAACCGAAGCTGAGAAGGTTGCAAGCCGCATTGCGTGGTAGAGATGTGCAGAAAGTGAAGCTGCCCTACTTTTAGCATATTAATCAAATGATAAGCACAGCGCGCCAATGGCCGCAACATATAATTTCTTTTATCTATGCATTGAAATAAAGTCTGCTGGTCAACATTGTCAAATACAATCAGAAACACGTCACAATTTTTTAGTTTCTACCAGCGAGTGCCACCGATTGAACGAGTAAATGAACAGTGCTGCCACATCGTAAGATAAATTTAGTGCTGTAAAGATACAAATGTTGAGCGCGCATTTCAAATAGAATAATGTACTCTTAATAAAAACAATTTTAAAGTAAAATCATATTAAATGCATTTAAGTTAATGTTGTATGTAATATGAGTATACTTACTGATATTTAATTACATTTTATTTTTTTTTTTACTTAATTACATTTTATGTATATTTCAAGTACATTCTATATTGTAAGCATTGGTATACTTTACACAGCAAGCATTTGTTATTTTTCAATTTAACGCAGCCCTCATACTTCCTTTTTACATTTTCTGCCGTGCTGTCGTTGAAAATACAGTTTCTCCTATACAATAACAAGCGTGCACACGCACACACAAAGGTCTGATTTTTGTAACTGATACGGCGCAGTGTTCGGTGATATTAAAGTTGCTTTGGCCCGTTGCTCTGCTTTAAAGCATTCTCGTCCACATGTTGATTTTGCCTTGGCTGTTATTCTTCTAGCCCATATATCTCTACGTTTTTTTTTTCCATTTTTAATTTGCGAGCATTTTGTTAAGCTGTGCTGACCGGCGGGCTGGCATGGCTCCAAGAGTCAGCGAACCAGATATACCCGCCAACTAAAACTGTTGCACCTTCACCTTTAAATGCGATTTTGAAAATGTATGAGCAGTTCCAAATGGGCTTACAGTCGACTCGTGTGGGGCGCAATGGGGCAGCTGGGCATGGCAACTGTCACTGCTTGGGTTTCCTGCACGCTAAGTTGTAGACCACATTTCGTACGGCTATATCAATCTATGGGAAGTAAACAGCATCTACTGTTGCTCCTTGCTTACGCTAATTGACAGCATTCTTCATGGAGTTGAAAATGAAGCAATAATAATGCAAAATGCCGTCTGAAAACCGTTGCAAATCATTCTGAGACGCACGCCCAAGTTTGTGCATCGGTAATGAAGCATTCGCCAGTCGCCAGTCGCCAGTGACCAACGGCCAACGGCCAACATTTTGGCCAAACCAAAGTTCGTCCATTACCATAAACGGCAACCCGATCAATTTGGACACGGATTATTGGCAACTATTTAGCCGGACAGACAGAGGGGCGGGCAGGCAGGCAGGCCTGGCTAGGCTCTAGCTGGCTAAAATGGCCCCTAGCTGCCTGCCACTTGTCCAAGTCGTCAGGCTGCCGTAAATTGAGCTTTGAGTTCGTCTTTGGGCCACCGCCCCGCCCCGCCCCGCCCCGCCTCGGTGCAACTGCTGGATTGGCCTGAATGTGTGTGCAGCATGTCGAAAATGCATGTTTCCTGATCGTAACTCTTCGCTCAATCTGTGGGTCCGCTTCTAGTTCGGACTTAACGTTAACATGATTTTCGACTTGTTCGTTAGACATTGCTAGTGATGAGCGCGTGACACGGCTGCATATGATAGCCGTGAACTTAATAATATACGATAATTATAATAATGCGGCTTTAATAAACTGCAGAAATAAAAAAAAAATTATTATCTTAAGTTAGCTTAACATTAGTTTTACTATTACTAATTAAAAACACCATTTTTTTTTAGCTTGTTATATATTTTATATATTTGACAGTCTTAGCCGATTGCATCGATTCCAATCAAAATTTACAACAATAAGGAATCATCGCTCATTTCGCGCTCATCTCTAGGCGCGATTCACTTGATCAGGTAGCTCGCCAACTTTGTTGGCCGTTGATTGGTTGCTCATTGTCCAGCTGTCCGGCTGCGTGTCCGTCTGACTCCTTAACTGACTTAGCTAAACTCCTTATTTTGATTGCCAAGTCGTAAAATGATGGATTACCGAGTTGGGATTTATTTCTTGTTACGGTCATAATAGATTATCTTTGCTCACTCATTGTCAGAGCTGTTGAGCCGAGCCTTCGAGTCGCGTTTCGCATCTTCTTTCGACAAATGCTCGTTAGGCTCGCCTGGAATTGCCTGCCTACCGTTTTGAGTTTTCCTGTCTGCTGCGCGGGCAGGAGGGTTACACAAATCTACCTTGATGGTATACAAGGTGGTTTCTGTTGCTGCTGCTTAATCACTCAAGTCTAGGCTAGGCTTTGCAGTAGGGCAATGCGGCGGAAATATGATTAAAACTATTAAGAGTAACGAGAAACGCAGTAAAATTAAACTGTTAACTAAGCAAATGAATTATAAAAGCTTAAGACAAATGATTATTATTATTATACGCAAAGCTGATATACATATGTATGCATACATATGCATACATACACACACATATTTACATTCATGCAAGACATTGATAAACACTGTGCAGTGCTGCAAAGCTCGCTGATTGATTACAGTGTTGTGAATGACGATAACAACTTGATTTGATGAGTGAGTACGTAATTTATTGGGAAAATAAGAGCTGCAGTTCTTAGATTTCATATTGTTGATAAATTAGCATATCCCTAACCGTAGTAGGCGGCATAATATTGAGGCGCGGCCACATAGGCAGCAGCTGCAGGTGCTGCCTGAGGAGCGGCGGCTATGAATTTGGCATAGGCTGTGGGCTGCACAAATCCAACGGCGCCTGCAGGATAATACACAACGGTTGGCGGCGCAACGGGCGCAACGGGTGCGACGGGCTGCGGAACACCAACAGCCGGGGTGGCGGCCGCTGCCTTGGGCACCTCCACTTCCTCGGCGGCATCGTCGATATCCTCCTGGGCCTCACTGTTTGCGGTAAGGCGCGCCGGCTTGGCCTGCAGGCGTGCTGGAGCTGCCTCTGGCGACGCTGGTGCCCTGTACAGCTGTTGGGGCTGCTGTGCTGCCGGAGCAGGCGCAGACGCTGACGCCGATGCTGGCGCTCTGTACAGCTGCTGTGGCTGCTGCGCGGCCAAGTTGAGCTCAGCAGGAGCAGGCGCTTGTGCTGGTACTCTGTACAGCTGCTGTGGTGCTGCATAGCTGATCGCTGGCTGTGCGCTCTGCTGCTGACTCTGCGTCGCTGGCTGATAATTGTAGCCGGCCTGCTGCTGCAGCTGCTGTTGATAACGGCGACGCTGCTGCACATCCGCCTGAGCCAGGCTCAACAGGCAAGCGAGCGATACGATGACAACTGGGCTAAGTTTCATTGTTATGACTGTGGCTGACCAACTGACTGGATTGGGTGGCGTCATATGGTATTTTATATGTTGCAGCGGCTGCTGCTTAAGATGCCGAGCGCGTGCCTTGGGGGAGGCGGCACACGACCTCCCGGCCAACAAAACAAAATTGACATTGACCCCAAAAACAAACCCCAAAGCTGAATTGTTGCATTCGCGTTTTGCAGTTGAGCGATGCTTGGGCTGCGCATAACCCAAATCCAATAGCGAAAACAGTGCAGGTAAAAGCGCAATGATGGACTACATAATGCCCTGTATATGGCCAAAGGAATAACTGCATATATATTGCTGAATATTTGGTTAACTATGATTATGTTTGTCTATTACACAAAGTTGTTATTCGTTATAGATTGAAGAGCAGCGCAGCATAGGAGCGGGCAGCCAATAAAAGGTATCTCTATTTAGGTAATATATCATTATATAATAGCTATAAATCGAGTTGGTGAATAAGTACCTCTAGTCTTATCCGCATAACATTTCCCATTGCTCGCTAAATTTGTTGCAACATAGGAGCTGGCAGTCAATAAAGGGAATCTCTATATAAATAATATATCATTTAATAATAGTTGGTAATTAACTACCTTTAGCCTTATCCGCACAACATTTCCCATTGCTTGCTAAATTTGTTTCATTACAGGGTATCACAGTGCATATATCACACGCTCGCAGCGCTCGTCATCACTGGCCGCAGCGTCTGCCTGGCCTGTCATCAATATGCAGCTGATGTTCTAACATTTTATTGGGCTTTTTTGGCCCGTTGCCCACGTGTTGCTCGGTCAACAACAGCAGCAGCAGGCAGCAGCAATATTTGGTGTTTTGGACAATCAATAGATTGGAATGGTCATGCAGTTTAGTCACGTCCAATGTAACACTATAAATTAGTCCATCTGGCATGGGGCGCATGTAGTGGCGACGATTTGGAGCTGGGTTACACGGCCAGTCCCGAGTGCTGGGCGACAAATGCAGGTGACAAAACTGTGGAATGCAAAGCAAAACATATAAATTGCCGATTAGCGAACTAACTAGGTATTTTGCATTTATACGAAAGTCGAACTCCCCCTTAAGACAAACGTAGTTGAAAGATAGAAATGATGTGATATTAGAAAGTCTTATCGAACATATGTATGTATATGTTGTATAGTTATATGCCCTACTATTATGGCAAAGTCTTGTATCTCAGTTCATTTTGCATTGCTTGCGAGTCGTTTATCTAGTTTAGCAATTATTTAATTTTAATTGAAATCTAATGAATACAAATCGTTTTGAATCCAATTTAACGCGTTTTGGCAACACCCCCCATATAAATCCAAGTCGAATAATCAATTATTGTATATTTCATAGCACCTGCATAAATTTGCCATCAGTGATGTGGGGCCCGCCTTTGGGGACTGAGAGATGCGCAATAAATTCAATGGAAATGGCGGACAATTGCCATGGAGATGTGCAGGGATTTCAATAAACAACAAAGAAGAAGAAGAAGTAGACGCACACCAACTAATTGTTGCAATTAATTTATTAAATTGCATTCGACACTAGCCGCAGCCAGCTGAGGCCAATAGACGCCGGCGAATGGCCGCTGGCGCAACGGGAGGCTATGCGCATTCACAGTAGTCACTTGGACAAGTGGACAGCGGGACAACGGGACAACGGGACAACTGGACGAGTGTGGCTGCTGGCGACAGTGGCTGTCTGACAGTTTATGGGCCATAAAAGCAACTGCATTTGCTGCACATTTAAGCTGTAATAATGTAGAGTCATGTGCCTCTAATGGCGCTGCTTAGCGAGCACAGCTAACAAATTTTGGTAGTAACTGTACTTTCAATTAATGAACGCTCTGCTTTTAATGATCATTAGAATGTAGCACAGTGATGTACGTAAATAGTTGCCATTACTTTTGAATATTTACTGTTATTGGCAGTAGCTAAAATATCCTATAAGAGATTTTCTTATCTATATAGCTTAATTATTTGATATTTATTTGAATCAAGTTTTGTAATACATTGCATTTATAACTAGATCTTATAGATAAGAGCCGTAAATAAGTATTATACAAAAATATTAGATAAAAGTTTTACACGTAAACCTATTAAGCTGCGCTTAGCCTAGTATTTAGTCAGAGTTAGAGGAACTGTCAGTTGAATTAATTTCAGCTCGTAACTTTACAGTTTCCTAGTTCCACAGAACTGAGCCAAGATACCAAATTGGGTAGCCAAGTTTTTCTAATTTAACCAAATGCCAGATTCTCTAGCAGCCAATTGAAAAAAGGAAATGCAAAGAAGAAAATGGGAAAGGCGAGCGGAAGGCGCACACATTTCTGGGAAGTGCATGGAGCAGACGTCCATTTGAAATGGGCGAGACATTCGTATCTATTGCCAAGAACTGGGCGTCATATTTCAAAAGACAGTCGCGGCCAATGGCCACGCGTGCGTATCGAAAGTTTCTCGGGAGTTTCCTAGTACCGGGCCACGGATCGGGGTGGGCTCGCTGCGGGAATTATGTAGATTTCAGCCTGGACGCGAGTGTGGAGCATGGATCGTGGAGCGTGGAGCGTGTTTGCGGCGCGTTTACAATTAATTTTCGACCAGCTCTGCTGGACTTGGTAGCTAAAGAGGAAGAAGCTGAAGAAAACCAGACCGGATCGTTGGCATGGGCGAAAAAGAGTTTCTCTAATGTTCGCCCGGTTTTGCATGTGTTGCATATACATATACACATATATTTATTTTTTTTTTCCTTTTGTTTTTTTTGTATTTTTTTTGATTTATTTTTGCTTTTAGTGTCTTTTATTTTATGATTTATACGAGCTGCAACAGCGTCTGCTTGGTCCGGTTCTGCGTATTTTCTTGACTTTGGCTTTGGCATTGGCATTGGCATTGGCGATTTTTCACCATTTTCATCGTAGATCAAAATTAAGTGATTTTAATGATGAAATTTATTGGCGCATTTATTTGTACATGATTTGGAGCAAGCCAAACTGCCTAACCTGGCTAACTGGCTAACTGGACCCCGCGGGGCGATCGACCAATAAATATGTTCGACATGTGACAGATTTCGTTGGCAAGATATACGATGCAGCTACCTGGGCTAGTTTATCGGGCTACCGACTACAATGGGAGGTCTATGGAAAGGACATAAAAATGTATTTTTAATTGAGATATTTATTGTTTTGCTAGCTAAGGGTTTCCTGTTATATTTTATTTAACAGTAATTTTTTGTTAATTTTTTTATTTACTATTTTTGCTTTTTTTGTCATTCCTTTAACATTTTTACATTCTAATTACATTATAAATATTTTTATTTTTTTAATATTACAAATATATATGTATATACACATTATACACATTTTAATTAAAGTTTGTTTCTTTGTATATATATATTTTAATTACTAGCGCTCTTTGCACTCGTGAATTGTTTCCGTCGCCTCTGTCCCAGCATAGACCGCATTATGACTACCATAAACCACACCTTGAATAATTGAACTGAGGACATTTTTTAATTACCATTTATACCCACTTTTTCGCTACATTATTTCTCTTCATGGCTAGACGTGGTCTGTCACATTATAAATTAATTATGAATACACATATACATATATATATTTTATTTATTTATTTATTCATTCGGCTGTAATTGAATGCAACAGCAAAAATTATCGTTGGGCTGAATACATTTTTAATGTTTGTTTGCGCGTCAATTTTTACGGCTTTGCACGCCAAATAAAAACATCACTTATTTACATAAATACATACATACATATATGTATATAGCATACACATACATATATATAATTAATTGTAAAGGGATTGCGAGCAACAAAGTTGATATTTGTAATTACAACAAAATGTAAATACGCAAAGTTTGCATAAATTTATCAATAATAATTAATAGCATAATTGCATAACAGTTGTATACAAACACAGAGGCATCATATTAATAAATTAATTGCCAAAGGGCTTAATTATATTAAAAACAATAAATAAACAAGAGCACGCTGGCAAATACTCGACCAGGCAGATGATGCAGTCTTATATATTTTAGGCTTTGAATATATAATATAAAATATAAAAAATTTATATAATATAAAAAATAAAATATAAATAAAATATAACATACATTTTATATATTAGAAGTCTTAGATTTAAGCGTAAAATATAAAAATAAATAATAGATTATATTATATCACTTTTATTCTGCGTTTGATTTGTAATAAATTCCATTGTAATAACTCAGTTAAACAATTGGCTCTATCATAGGCTTTCTCTAGCTAGGGTTCTACACCTTGCATGATTTGCAATAGATATCACCTATGTATGGAGCTAAAGAGATATATAAAATGAAACTGATAAAAAAAAAAATCGTAGTTTTTAATGAGATAATGTTTTTGCTTACGTTCGACGCATTCCACGCGTCATCGTTTGGCCCAACAATTAATAATGAAATTGTTATTAAATGACTCTTTTTTATGCAAAATACTTTGTCATGTAGTTAATGTTAGAAAACAAGCGACGAATGATGCTAAGAGAAGAAGACCCCATGGCAGAGTCCAGACTCAATTAAGTTTTGAATTTTTCTTATCGCTCGATTGGCATTTCTTTTGCCGAACCATGGGGTCAGGGACTCAGTCAGTCAGTCCGCGTGTCCGCCAGAATCAATGCTTGAGTGTTGCGATTCGACTATGAATGCCGGATGATTGTTTATATAGATTTACGTATATACATACATACATATGTATACTAATGTATGTCACTTGCCTCGGCACTCAGAGTGGGGTAACCTGTCAGGATGTCTTCGCTTTAACCTGCTGCTCAGCTAATCAAATCAAATTTGTAATGAGAGAGCCACAGCATCTGGTTTATGCTGCCAGCCAGAAAATCAACTTGAAAAAGCAATGAAAATTAAATTAAAACGAATTCTTTATATGCTGAAATTAATAAAATCGAAAAAATATAATAATAATAATTTTAATAATTATATTGAATAAATTAAAAAAGAAATAATTTTATTCTTTATAATAATTTATTATATTGAATAAATTAAAAAAGAAATATCATTATTCTTTATATTAATAATATATATAATTATAATTCCTTATAATAATAATAATTTAAAAAATTTTAATAATCATATTGAATAACTTAAAAAAGAAATAATATTATTCGTTATAATAATTTTAATTATTATATTGAATAAATTAAAAAAGAAATAATATTATTCTTTATATTAATAAAATATATAATTATAATTCTTTATAATAATAATAATTAAAATCATGTTAATTATTATTTTCAATAAATTAAAAACGAAATAATCTTATTCTTTTATTATTTATTTTTAATTTATTCAAAATAGTGATTACAATTATTTCAACTATTTTTTTTTATATAAAGAATTATTAGCTTAAATTTTGGCTTAATAATTTGTTATTTTTATTAAATAATGCAGAAAGTTCATTCATTTTGATTATTCTAAAACGTTTTAAAAAATATATGAACTAATATTTTATATGTTTAAACATGAAACTAGCCAGTGGCATATATGCATGTACGTATATAAAAGAGATGGAAATATAATCAATGAAAATTGATATTTATATATATTATCATATAATAAAATAAGCAAAAAATATAAGCAATAATTTTCTAGATTTTCATTATTGTAGTCTTTTATTTTTTAATTAAATTTTATTTTATTCACTCTATACTTTCTATAGAATTAAAACATTTATTTATATAGGCGAATTCTTTATAAAACTTTTTGGCAATTCTTATCTATTCACTTCTGTATATGAATTGTAGTTAAAATATATTAAAATGATTATAGAATTATATCATGCACCTTCTGCAAAGAGTAGAGAGCTTCAAAAAATGTTTGCGTGCTTCAGGTTGAAACCGCATTTACCATTTATTTGCTCAAATGAGTTTCGCTTTTGAGCTTGTGGTTTGCCTTATAAAAGAAAATAGGAGATAGGGGATAGGAGACAGGAGATGGGGGAAATACCACCAATTGCTGGCGCGTCATGTGAATTACGAGTTGGCATTTAACTAACCTTGAAATCATTTTTCAATTCAATTTTATTTTGTATATATATTTTTTTTCTTTATAATTTTTTATTAGCCAAAACGAGTATACAAACACACACACACACACGCACACTGATACATTCGGAATGGAGTTTATTTGGCCGAAAGTCGTATTCGATGTGAGGAGTTTGTTGAAATTTGATACCTGGCGGAACAAGAGCTGCGGCAGGCAACCTGTTGCCTGATTTGTTGCATGTTGCTTGCTGGCAATCAACAGCTAACAACTACAACAACAGCAGGCAGCTGCAACAACTTGTTGTTTGTCGCCAAATGCTGTTGTTTGTTGCCCACGTGGTGTCATGAACCCGCCAATCCAATTCGGTGAAAACTCAACGAGCCATTTTATAAAGTTCGGGTGAAATTTTCTTGTGGAAAGTCGTGGCACGTTTTTCTCACGACTCTTGAAAATTGCTGAGAATCTCACACAGCAGCATTCAGCAGGAATTGTGTTTCCTTTTTTTATTTATTTGATCTATTGCTAAATAAGGTCATATACAAAAAAATAATTGAAATTCTTCAATTGAGAGTTTTTATGGGTAGACTAGACTAGA